GACTCATGATTCCAATGATTTAGTTTAGTTTAGTGTATTTTTGGTCTTGAATTTATCTAAAAAAGCCATTTATTAGCTATTTTCAAATTAATTTCATATAATTTAATAAATCATTGAAACTAGAAAGTGTTGGGTGCAGTTTTGCCACAGAGATTGCTTGGTGGTATAAATCAGTAATCCATCACGAGATTGAGCTTATGACTCTCGATTTGAATAAGGAACCTGAGTGTAGTTACCAATTCTAAATTCGACTGAAGTATGATCATCGTGTAGTACTATTTCTGGTTAACTCGTTCTTTTTTAACTGGCCTTACTACTGTTGGATGCCAGCTCATTGGTCTAGATGTTAAGCGTTCGCGCGTGAGACCGGAGGTCCCGTGTTTGAGTCCTACGTTCAAGATCATAGATACCCGCTGCTGAGAAGTCCCATATTGAGACGAAACGGTCGTCCAATGCTTTCAGGTTTTTAATGGTAGTCTGTTTTATATGGACTCGTGAATTCAACTAGTAAAAAGGATTTCAAATTGTTAAAGACTTCAAGAAACCTTCCAAAAAATCATTTTTAAGCAAGTTATTGGTACTTGAAACTTTATGCACAGTACATAAATCACATGACGTAAGAGTAAACAGTAACCGTAAGCTTACTTATACCTAAACATAATTTTCATTGGAAAGGTTATACTAATTGAACGGATCAGTATCAGCGTAATTATAGTTACGATAAGACAGTAGTTGTTAAGGCATATGCTAAAATAATATCAACAAATTTCTTCGCATTTATAGGATATTTGTAAAAAGGGAAGTAAAATCTATTCCATCAGCTATTTATAAACTTCGTAAACACCTAAAACTAAGGGATATTGTTTCTAAGAAAGAATGAAATTGACGTAATTTTGTTTCAGCTAACTGAACTAGGATTGAGAAAGGCTAATAGATATCTTCTAGATTCTTAGATTTCTCGATTTTTACTCTTACGTTATGAGTTTGGATCATTAATAGGTAGTCTAAATTTTATTGTTTTTATATCCGTTGAATTATTAACCAACTATAATCTTTAAAATCATAAATATACTTTTCTGATATCCCAGTGAGAAGAAAGGTATTTTGACATTACGTGACTTAATGTAGGTCACTTCTTTAAAGAATAAATAAACAAATTAAATTAGCCCAAGTTTAAACAGTACAGAAGAACAAAGCAAGAATATTTGATGTGATCAATCAAGAACTGGCTTGACCAAATAGAGTTACTTTTGGTCAAGGAGATTCTGTATAACATATCTCTGTACTAATTTGTGAGTCAGAAGGTGAGTATAGAAAATGTATACAATTGTAATATGACCTAGTGGGGTTGAAATTGAGTGTATTTGTCTAAATTGCGTGGAAAATGAATAGGGTCAAATGTGGTTGTTTGGAAAAACAGTCCAGGTTGGTTGAATAATTAGGACTTCTTTCCTATTGAGGGCAGAGGGATTTAACTTTATCTGAAGCACTTCGGCTACTCGCTTCTCTTTATGGTTGGAAAAACTTTTCTGAATTATTTTAATATTTTTGGATATCAATTTGGTGATTATTGAAAACAGCATGTACTGGTATTACTGATTTTTCAATTCTAAAGTATTATAAAGGGGTCTTTTTGTGTAAACTTTGTGTTTTGAGGTATGACTTGGGGTCTCACGGGAAGACTCTCTTATTTGAACGCACCTCAATCGATACAACCTGATCTGTAGACACAATTCCGTGTATATGCAGACTGGATCTTCTATCCTAAATAAAGCGTTTCTTAGAGTATTGCTCATCTTGTAGAAAGCTTTAATTTCGTAAGTTTTCAAGAACCATTGTAATTCTTTTGTCATACCTTGGTAGCAAGGTAAAACTACTGTACCAATTCAACATCCTTCATTAGAATTATTGTTTGAAGAAGGACAGTTTTGCCTTAATATGTTTTTAATAACATACCTAGGCAAATTATTAAATTATATCATCTTCTTCCCTTAGTTTGTCTTCTGAAATAATGTTCTTGGTTGCTCTTCCAAAAGGATTCAGAGCTAGGGAAATTTTTGTACCAAATGTATGTGCAGAGTTAAAATCAATATACTGACTTGAATGTGCTAGTTTTCGGTATGTGATTAGAGTGAAACTCTAATTAAAGTTCCTTTTAACTAAACAGTCCAAGAATGGTAGCTCACTATGTACATCTTCCTTTTCGAAAGCGGGTTTGATGTTTTCTAAGAACGTGTTCATCTGTTTGGAGAAGTTTCTAAGGGATGTCTTTTTAATCATGACAAGTTTATCATCTACATATCTGAATCAGAAACGTGTTTGGATGGTACTGGCAAAAATAAGCAACTCAGAATGGGACATATATAAAGTAACAACAATCGGAGATACTGGCGATCCCATGGCTACTCCAATTGTTTGTTTATATAAAGTCCCATTGAAAGTGAATAGTGTTAAATTCAAGCATAGCTTGAGAGATTTCATCATTGAACTATTGCTTAATGGACACCTATCAATTGGAATGTTAGTGTACAAAGATACAAAATCACAGCTTATCACTGTTCTGTTCTTGTTGATGCATAATGTCGAGATCTTTGATTTCAGTACATATGAATACTTTACGACATTAATTAGATTATGCTGAAGTGGTTTCAACATACTACCTAGATTTTTAGATTAAGTAAATGTGGGAGTATTCGTTTGGTTTACAATGGGTCTTAAAGGATAGTTAGGCTTGTGAACTTTCGGTGGCCCATAGAAATGTGGTGTGCTGTTAGATTTAGGGTATAAAGCATATTGTAACGAAACGCCAATATAAGGCTTTAGTTCCTCCAGAAGTTTAATTGTCTCTAATTTAAATTTATCTTTAACCACTTGAAGATTTTTCGAATCAATCTTTACATTTGGTCCCGTCGATAGATGTTAAAGGGTTTTTTCTGCATACTTGCTTTTGCTCATGACCACTGTTGTACTACCTTTTCCAGTATCGGGAATAACAATCGTTCTATCCTTTCGCAACGTATGCAAAGCTTTCCATTCTTCTTTGGAAACATTAGATGGAGGAAATATTCACTCCGTTTAGATATGAGATGTTTTTTACGCAATATGTGCGACTGTGTATCCAAACGTTTTCCAAGTATCGGTCTTAGAACTGAGACGGTTAAAATTTAGTCCATTTTCTAGTAGAGTGATTTCATGACTAGTCTATACAGTCTATAATGATAATATTGAATTACGATATATATATATATATATATATATATATATATATATATATATATATATATATATAAATGGTAACTTCTCAAACCGTTAAGGTGGGTGACGCTGGTTCAAATCCCATAGGGAGTATCACTTTCATCAAGATTACATGCATGTTTTGGCCGACTACCGCCAACTAGTGTGGAGCCTAGATTTAGGGTTTCTTGTCAACTAATTCTAGCCACTCAACGGTTAAACACCTTTTATTTAATGTTGATTTTGTATTCAGATACTGACCAAATAAATCAACGTAAAGTCACGACAAGGATCTACTGGGAAAGAAATTTTTTCCTCAGTCAGTTTTTTCTTACTTTTGATGTTTAAATTGGAATATTTAATATATTAAAACTATAAACGAAACTAAAAAGTTTCAAAATTACTTAGATCATAGTTAATTATAAACATTATATACTATGGTTATATGTAAATACAAAAGTGTAACCTAAGGATAATCAGTGAAATCACGTATTTATTTTTAACAAGGTTTAAGAACTTGTCTAGACAGTTTAATATTCATTAATTCATTTCTAGTTGAATCCTGACATTTGAACAAACTAATTAAGCTTTCAAGATTTCATGTTATAACACGATCTAATAAATAAACTTTTGATATTCTTTACTTATAGTAGTAAAGATTAATTGTCTTCATGTTGACTATTATACTAAATCTTAATATAATAAAAACATTCAATGCTATTTGGATTCGTCATATCACTGAATTCATTTATTAATTAATTTGATAGAGTGAAAAAGATGCTAACGGGATTAAAATACGTTCTCACAATTCAAAAACAAATATCTGTATTATTTTTGTTTCATTGAAAAAAACAACATAACTGTATGAAGTTTTATAGTAGTAAGATAGATGAGATACAAAACGTTGTAGCATTTTTTCGATTGAGATCATGAACTGATTGATGTTAGACCACCATCGAAAACCTTGAAACACTAGATGGTCGTTTCATCCTATTGTAGGACTCCTCAGCAATACGCATCATACGATTCAGTCTCGCGAGTTTCGAAGCCAGGACCTATTCGTTTTGCGCATGAACGCTTAACCTGTAAATCACTGGGATGGCCGGCATCCAATGGTGTCAATATTTAACCATCATTGTGTATAAGACGATATCAACGTTTTCATGTTTTATCACGTACAGTTATATATATGATTAGATTAATTTCAATAATTTCTTTACATATGCAAGTGTTTTATTTTTTATTTGTTAATCAGTTAGTAAATGCATAGAACCATAAAATTGACTTGGGTGGTTTAATAACTGATCGACTAATTATTTCTCTTGCCTGTTTTTAGATGTTGGATTATTATACGGGGAAGCTTTGTTGTCAACTGTGTGACACAGTGTATATATGTATGATCATCGCAGATTTTATCTGTTAGGTGGTTGAAAGTAGACGAAAAGTGACCACGGATTTTGGTTTTATTCCAATTAGTAATTGTCAAAAAAGTGTATGTGTACCCTTAAGGCAATTGATGCTCCCTGTGGGACTCAAAACTGCGTCGTTCAACTTTAAAATTTTATTTCTATACAACTGAAAGGGGTTAGGAAACGATGTTTTACTGGCGGAAGACTAACTTCACAAAATAGTTAAATGTATTCATAGCTTTACGTCTCTTAGTACTCATTAACTTTATTGATTTTATTGGCAAACGTAATTACATTTGATATGCATGCATGTATGTATGCAATAGTTAGCATCTTTCTTTGTATTTATAAACCCAGAATTATCTATGCCGTATAATCCTTGTCAACCGAATCCATGCCAAAACAGTGCTAAATGTGTAAATATTCAAGATTGGAGTAGAACAACATCATTAAAGAAATTCAACACTTTGTCAGACTATTACTGTGTATGTCTCAAAGGATGGACTGGACAAAATTGTACGGAAGATATTGATGATTGTGTTATTCATCCTTGTTTAAATGGCGGTATTTGTGAAAATAAACCAAATATGAGATTTTATTGCCATTGTCCAACAGGATATGTTGGTAAGCATACATTTTTATGAAAGTATTTGATAACACTTGTTATAGCTATATTTTTCATTAGTTTTCTGGTTTCATTAAAAAAGTTAGTTCAGCTTGTTAACCTTCGAAATATTAACTAATAATTCAATGAACATCAAAGAAGCTGATAAACAGAAGTATTGTATAGTGAATCATAATTGTAGAATAACAGATTAGATGGAACTTATGCTACTCAAGTGATAATTGTCGTGAAAATATGCTAAGCGAATCAAATCTCTAAGGCTGATAATTGGACAAACCTTGTTTTTTATTTGGAATTTTTTAAGGAAAAATATCTTTTAAAACATTTTATTATGAAAGATAACAAATAAGTAAATAAAGAAGAAGCGAATTGAGCGAAGAAATTTCCTGTCAATTAGTTTTTCATCATGGCTCTACACTAATATAAATATATATGATTTACAATAATGAAATAATACTCATCGAGTGGATACGTTACGTAATAATTACATAATGACATTTCGATTATAAATTAACATTGAGTAATTAGAAGAAAGAGGATTAATAATAATGATAATCAAAGTAATTATTCGAAAATCAAGCAGTTGCTACGTTGTATAATGTATGAAAAAGAGAAGGAACAGAATTTTTTTAATGGATGGTCAATAGAATAGTAGTTACGTAAGAATCAAGAGATGAATGTTGAGAAGTTATAAAGTTCAAAAGTAACAGAAACAAAATTACAAAAGTAAAAAACTCAAACCTGTCCTTTGCTTACCCATGACGGATGGTGTTCTGTAATACGATGACGGACTTGTCGAATTGTACGCCCTATATAACTGGCTCCACAGGAGCAGTTGAAACGAAAAGGGATTAAAAGTTCTATTCTCTCTCACTTGGTTGATACAGGTCATCAAGTTGAATTGAATAAAGCTTTTAAGGTTATCTACAATATCCTATCAAATTTGCCACGTGGTTTACGAGTGCGCCTCTTGCACATTGCGGAAGCCATCGCGATCCATATTCAAAAACCTGACCTTTGCATTCAAAAGACATTCGTACAACCACTTTCTCTACCCTGGCCATCAGTATAAGATTTCCTTCAAAAGAACTATTTTGCATACTCCTTCCACTTGTTTTTCGTTTTTTTGTTTGAGTTTTTTACTTTTGTAATTTTGTTTCTGTTACTTTTGAACTTTATAACTTCTCAACATTCATCTCTTGATTCTTACGTAACTACTATTCTATTGACCATCCATTAAAAAAATTCTGTTCCTTCTCTTTTTCATATATTATGCAACGTAGCAACTTCCTGATTTAATAATTATTTTGAATATTATTAATCCTCTTTCTTCCAATTACTCAATGTTAATTTATGATAGAAATGTCATTATGTAATTATTACGTAACGTATCTACTCGATGAGTATTATTTCATTATTGTAAATCATATATATTTATATTAGTGTAGAGCCATGATGAAAAACTAATTGACAGGAAATTTCTTCGCTCAATTCGCTTCTTCTTTATTTACCAAATGGCAAAGTGGGAATTTTCAAAATAAGTAAATGATAAGTTCCAAAAAAGTTCAAAACCTACTTCATCACTGATTATTATTCAAAACAATTAGTCCCTTTGATAAATTTCGATAATGTAATGAGAAGACCTAATTTATCAGAATTATGTGATATATTTGCTCAATACATTTCGAACAATTTGATCACACATATGCTTCTTAAGAACATTTATAGATGAAAATTGAAAGGTAAACTAGACAGGTTAAGCGTAAGTCATAACAAAGGAAAAATAATATTAGAGCACACAAAAACAAATGTGATTACCACTCTGGATAGTAAATCAGTATTACCAGGGTAGGTTATGTGTAAGGACAAATTGTTTTTGAATACATAAAGGGGGTTTTAATTTCTGTATATCCAAGGCTTCAATAAACCTTGGTATACGTCCTTGAAGGCTTTTGTATAACACTACAAATGCTGATTTGATGTCAACCTTATGACCCGTCTCAATCAAATGTTTCACAATGGAGGATGATGTCTGTCTATCCTGTGATCTTATTTGACCATTGGAATTCATCTGATTCTGCAACCATTTTGGTATATGTTCACCCACCCTTAATTGCAAACCACGATTGCTTCTCCCTGTTTCCACATATACATGTAAATTGATAGACGCAATGGGATGTGACACAATCGCTTTCGTGATGTTTGGGCTTTTGGTGAAACATAGACCTTGTCTTTTCGATGATGACAAGTTGGGCTTCATAAAATGTCTGATTGATAGCTAATTTAAGTATCCGTTTCAACATGAAACTATTTGTGTCGCCTCTGAATGGTAATGTAATATAAACTCGCTTTTTGGGTGCCAGAAGCGTCATAGGTCTAGTCGTATTGCAACCCTTCCAGCGGTTTGTGAACTTCAAAGAATAACCGTAATTCATTAACATATCAGTCAAGAGCTTCGTCTCTACTTCAATAGTATCACTAGTACAAATACGATTGATTCTATTGAATAAGCTCTTTATTAAACCGCGTTTGTAATGAATGATCATTATTCATTTTCTTGAGAAAATTTCTGAATCTAGTTCTCAATTCCTTGAATAGTATTTTAATATGTTTCTATTATCGAATAGTCAATAAAGAATAGATAAAATCAATAGAATTCTTCATCCAACAATTACTGTGAAATTCATAGGTATTATTAGTTTTTCATACCAAATAACTTTATTCTCAAATGAATTCAGTTTACTTCAAATAACTCCCTATGTTCATTTATTAGGTCAGACTTGTGAATATAGAGATCCATGTCAACTTAACCCTTGTTTAAATGGTGGAACTTGTCAGTCTGATCCATTTGGTCGGTTTACTTGCATTTGTCCTCATTGGTACAATGGAATACGCTGTGAACAAGTAAGAAAATAATAATTAATGGCATACAATATGTGCTCATGAAGCTATTCAATAATAATACCGATGTTCATGGCACCTGAACTTTTTATCATTTTCAATTAAGTAGTTAATATTCCATAGTTCATCTTTTAGTACTTATCATACTCATTAGATCTACGTTTTTCTTGAGGACACATAATACTTTGATATGATGTTATAACCCCATATAGGAAGATATCCAGAAACATTAAAACAAAAAAACTACTCTGAAATTTTAACAAATATCAGTATTCCAAACAATTAAGATGTTTGTTTCCAATTTGAATGAAACTGCGACTTTTTGTTGTTGTCTTAATGTTGTAATGTAACTATAATATAATATAGATCTAGGTTTTACCAACTGGTATGTCATATAGTACAAGTGCTATTATTCAAAACAAACATCAAATCTGAATAGTTTTATATTTCAGCTGCTTTAACATAATTTTCTTAAGAATAATATTTCCCCTATGACTATATATATATATATATATATATATATATATATATATATATATATATATATATATATATATATATATATATATTACTGACGAGCATCTAATAAACAAGTATAACTTCTTATAAAAAATGATATACTGTCAACTTTAAATATATTTATCGTTTGTACAATCATCTAACTATCTATTTAAGCAAAGATGGATAGTGGCTAGCAATGGAACCCATGACACGCGTTTCGCCCTATTCGGGACTCGTCAGCTGAATGTACCTGGATTGGAGTTGATGTTCACTTCGGGACTCGAACTCAGTACCATTCACCTCATACACCATGGGAAGATACAATTAAAACAACACAAACTGAATCTAACTATCTACTTTAAAAACTTATTTTAATATGAAGACAAGTATTCCTAAATCAAAAGTAATATTACAAAGTGTAGGAATACAAATAAGTTGAAAAAACTCAGTTCAACGTAGAGTTTACTTTACAGAATGATTACATAGATGTAAATATGTAAATGATTTAGCAACTAAACAACAAAAAACGGAAATTTAAAGTTCAATTAAAGGAATTATAATACTGAAATCATACGATACATTTAACGTTTACTTAACTTTACAAACTTTTATTTACACCCTTGCTATACTATACTAATATATCTTCAATATAACTTTCAACCAGACCCTTTCATGCAAGTAATTTAAACTCATTATGTAATTATGATTTTAAATATCACAGGCTGTAAGCAGTTGATGAGAACCTACGAAATAAAATGAATTCATACCATTCTGCTAGAATCTTTGTTTTTGCTCTTTTCAAAATGATAAAGGGAACTATGTGTATGAAAAAGAATAAGTGCAAAATTATTCATATTTTAATTGTTATTAACCTTATATTACTACTGTGTAATATACTGGCATTTTATGACAATAAACATAGTATTATTTCAAAAACGGATGTATTTCTTATGTATTGAAGTTTTACAAGTATTAAGTAAATGCTCTGAATGTTAACACAAAACACCCCTGATTATTGTTGTTGTTAACTTTAAAACTGTATTTGAAAGAATTATATGTATAGACCTAATACTTGGAACAGGATGACTAAATAAACATAGAGGGAATTTGTGGAGATTGTAGTAATTTGACAATTGAATTCATAAGTCAATTGAATCTAGATCAACATGGAAAACCAGGAAGCACTGGACGACTCTTTGATCCTAGTATGGGAATCCTCAACAGTGCGCATCCACGATCCCTTCCCGCGAGATTCGGACCTTGGAGGAGTCCCATACTAGGAGGGAATGGCCGTCCAATGCTTCCAGGTTTTCCATGGTGGTCTAGCTTTAATTGATGTATGGACCAAATAAACATTTATTTAAAATGCGTCATCTAGTAAGATTTAAAGTTGATGCAAGCATCAACATATATATATATATATATATATATATATATATATATATATATATATATATATATATATATATATAGAGAGAGTTATTTAAAACCTTGTTAAATAAGTCATACATATGTATTCCAATGTTTTATTAATTATTCATTAGGGATAAACAAGATAATCATAGTTCTTGTATTTCTTGTTATTGTGAAAAATATTCCTTCATGATAAGTACATGAACTTGTGTTATGTGAATAAAACCTAAATTCGAAATTTCTGTAGATGGGTTTGTCACTGAGATGGTAGAGAAGATTTGTAGCTCAGATGGATGATTTTAGTAGAGTTTTGTTCTCTGAGCTGGATGGTTTGATCGTGGAGCTTTAATTGTTTTTCTAAAAGACATCATCAGCACAAACTTCAGGTAGAAGTCTTCTTATAATATCGTTCAGAAAAACAATCAAAGCTCCACGACCAAACAATCCAGCTCAGAGGACAAAACTCTATAAGGAATATTTGTCACTGTTTATTATTGAATTTAAAGTGAACTTAAAAATATCTGACAAAAGTTTTAGAAGAGAACAAAGATTCTTTTTGGCAAAAAATAAGATCAAATATATTTTATATCTGATGTAATTTAGGCTCAGATAATGTTATGATAAGACTGAGTTTATCAGAGCTATGAGATATATTAGAGTAAAATATTTCACAAAGTTTGATTGTATATAAGTTTTCAAAGACGGTCAAATATTAAGAGATAAAAAGCAAACTAGACAAATTAGAACATAAGAGAAAATAGTGATAATCTGAAAGAATTCTATGAATACCACTAATCTGGAAATTAAAATTAGATCAATATAATCAGGGTTGATTTTGTAGGAGCATGGACTGCTTTTGAATTCACAATAATGGCTAACGTTTCAAAAGATCAACATATTCTCTCTAGACAGTTATTATATAAAAAAAATACAAGATATGAGTTAGATTAATTATATGGCCCATTTTAACTATAAATTTGACAATCAAGAGTGGTGGATATCGGATTAGTTGCATTCACTTGTCCTTGTAACTGTATTAGTACATGTTAAGCCATCCTCACTCTCAAGTCATGATTATCCCTTCATAAGTATTTGTGTTCACATACAACTGTAAATTGGTAAGCACAGTAGTATCTAACACATTCATTCACATGTTGTATAGTTTTTAGATGAAGCATAGGCTATAACGTCTTAAAAATAATTATCTTGGTTCCATGGCAAGTCCTAATAATAAGTCAATAAAACCTCCGTCTCCACAATAAACTATTTGACTCATCTTTGAATAAAATGATGTGGAAGGACATTAGTTCTTAACCTACTGCTGCCCTTTCATCAGATAATGAATTTTATTTGACATTCATTCTGAATGAATGGTTTATTTAACATCTTCACTTTGGATTCTATAGTATCATTTGTAAAGACAAAACAAATCCCACTGAATATCCGCTTATTCAACCCTCGTTTTCACTATATTAGTCAATAACTTTGAGAACTAAGGTGCTGCCCTGCCGTTGTAGGCTTTATACAAACAGAAGGTATTTTCAATTTGGTCCCATATTTTGCTAATAAAAGTACATGTTATCGATTATATCTTCAACTAATTTTGCAACATATACGATTAACACGTTAGCTGGCAACGGTTCCAAGACAATAATCACTGCACCACCACCAATCTGTAATTACCGAAGGGTATTGAAGCTAACTGATGTTACTTTATTTACCACAGAAATGCCAATGTAGTATCATTTTATATTTGCGTTATCCCGAGATTTATAAATAAAGGAACCATACATTTTGTGAATAAAATGATTTATTTGTGGACAAAGCTTACTGTGTAAAGCTATTACTGAAAACAAATGACTAACCGTAATTTATGTTGTTTTTTATTTAACATTTTGATACAGGAAATTAACCCATGCTATCCTACATCTCCATGTTTGGGGGAGAAGTCAGTTTGTCATTTAGTGACGTCAAAGAATAGAACAGTTTCGGGACCGTCGTTTACTATTCACAAATCAGAGTATATTGTAGATTTTCTATGCGAATGTGACCTTAATTATTTTGGTCGTTATTGTAATAAGAAGCGAAATTCATGCAAGTTTCATAATTGTAAAAATGGTGCAACTTGTTTACAAAATAATGATCATTTTGTTTGTCTATGTCCTTTAGGTAAGAATATTTCTGTGTCCTTATCTTTGTAATGCACCGTATCTAATGTCTTTCCGTTTTTATAATCTAGATGATAATAGTAAGCTTGCAAAATGTATTCGTCAGATATTCGATATACATAAGTTATTTTAGTATCAAAAATCCAATATAATTGGCTGGTTAGGAGAATAAATATCACAAGTATTTATGATTAAAATCACATTGTTTACTTATACTGTGCAAATACAGTTGTAAATTATCCAAGAGATTGTAATGAACCAACAGTAAAATTCTGTACTGAGCCTAAAATGAATGGAATTGTAACTGATCCCGAAAATCAATGTAGTGTATTATTATCCGAATGTACTGAGTTTATGCTAGCAAGATGAATTTTTATCAAGGGACGTTATTATTTGAAGAACAGCTGAAGACCAGAAATCACTGTACAAGCACTTACTCATGTTTCATAACTTCGTAGTGCAAATTCTTGATTGCGTATGTGATCAAATCGAAAACCACTTTTCTTTGTCGATATAATATTATACAGTCCTAAAGCTGAGATTTATTCAACCTAGCAACGAAAATTTGGTGAATTTGTAATGTAACGTGACCATCGTTCACTGTTATCCGTTCGAACGTTTTTAATGTAATAAAGTTCTATTTAGATCAGTATGTATTAAGAATTCTAATTATTCAAAAAACAAGAGCCAGTGAAAATGTTTAGTGCTGCACAATTTTTGTTTGTCCTATAATGAATATGATTATATTGAAACGATCTTTGAACTAACTAATTTTAATTAATGGTTCCGCTAATGATCATTTGATTGACTTACGATTGTTTAGCAATTTATCATTTTCAAAATTAAACGTTCAACGTTTTTACAGATTTGAATTGGATTTTAACTGGTCCAACCTGTTTTGAATGGTGACCTGTAATTATTCAGGTGGTTAAAAACCCATAAGCATTATGTTCATTCAGGCTTACGTGTAGTGGTATGTCTTCAATGAAAGAGAGATGAATGATCTTACGTAACTCATAACTACGCTATTCCTCTCCAAGCAATAAATTTGATGAATTATTCTGAACAGAACAATTTAGTTATAGAGTCTTCTAAATCTAAAGAATTTAAGTTTGAATCTCAAAGATAAAATTAAGTTAGAATCTAAGAGGTATATCTTTCTGTTGAATATCAATAACTGTGATAAGTGGTTGAACCGCTAGTCAAATTGTTATATGACATAATATAAATTACTCTGTTTACGGGAACTATGTAATGTTGAATACTACTTTATAAACTTAAGACAGGTCTTCTTCCCTACCTTGAGTTGTCAGATTTAAGTTCAGCAAGTGTTGAGTAACTTTATTTCTGTAGACAGAAGTAGAGGGGAACGATGTGTATATATTGAACATTGAAAAGTATAACAAAGAGCTAAGACTAGATGTATCTGGGTTTGGTAATTCAAAATTAATCAACATTTCCTTGAACATTAAGTCAGTCAGTCAGTCAGCTACAAAGTAGGACCAGACACATATATACATCAGTCCAAGTTGCCATACCTCATTAGCATAACGAAATGAACATCGGATTCATAGAAGTAGTAAATTCAATGGTGAAATGATATTAAAAGAAACATTGCATATAAGGAAATACCACAGGAAGAAAGAATTAGTTCGTAGAAAGAAAGATATGAAGCAATTTTAATCTTTTAGTTTGAAGGAAGACAGAGAGTGTATACACCTACGCCATTGTGATCGATTCCGAGCCATGTCACCAAGAGTCTCCAACTATTGGTTACGATAGTCACGTGGACCCCAATCAAGTAGTCTGCATCAACCCACATGCCTAAGACTAGAAGCTGATGACTTCAAGCACTGATGGCACGTTCTAGTTTGACCGTCCTTAACTTTCTTCCAACCATCCCCAACACTAGTGTCAGCATTGCGTGTCGTGGTAATCGGTGTTCAGTTATACGTAACACGTGGCCCAACCATCTCATTCGATGAAGATTCACAACCTAATCAAGTGATTTACCTTTCATCCCCTAATACCCTCCATCTAACCTCATTATCACATACCTGATAATCCCAACAGATGTGAGCAATATTTCTAAGATATCTGTGGTCGTAAACATTGATATCTTGAATAAATCAAACAAATAGGTCCCGTTAAAATAGTTATTAGTGAATACCTTTTTACTTCATTCAATATTCATTGTATATTCAAGAACTATTTATTTTAGGATTTACAGGATCAATCTGTAATACACCTACAAATAGAACTAAATATATTTCTTCTAATATAAATACTTTAATTCATAATCAATCAATAAATATGAATATATTCAATAAGAATCTAACAAATAATCTAGAATTATTCAATGATTATTGTTATCAAATTGGATGTAATAAAGCAAAAATTGGTGATAATATATGTCAAGCAAATTGTATCTATGCAAATTGTATAAATATAAAAGATGAATTAGAAAATGATTGTCAATATTGGATTAATTGTTTACAAACAACTCAATATATTCTAAATGATAATAATAATAATGATGATGATTATATTCAAACAACATGCGTTGAACAATTTAAAAATGGTAAATGTCAATCGGAATGTAATAGAAATGAATGTTATTTAGATGGTTTTGATTGTTATGAAAATATGTAAGTGAATGATTTGATCATTTTTATATGGTAAGAGTATAATTTATAGACGAACCAATCAGGTATTAAGATGATATATGTGGAATTTTGGCGTGAAATTCACTCATCCATTTGGATAAATAAAGTTTTGGCATTATAGATGATGTTAGTTTGTGATGAAAATCTGAAATTTAATTTCTAAACTTAATCATCAGCTGTAAATTCTTATTCTAATTTCTTATACAGGTTCATAACTCTCATTTGATCCTGGTTATTAAGTGGATACATTCAAGATCAGTCTAATATCGCTCAAAGGTCGTCCATAAATTATAGTCTTACCATTTTACATTTAATTTACAATATTTGATCTTTAAATTTCCATTGATTTCACTGATTCATTGAAGTAAATGTAGTAACATGCACTTAAAGTGTTACTTTATATAGTTGAAAGTCTTTAGTAGCTTAAATTCTTGTGATATTTATTAGGTGACCATAATTTCAAATGTTTTGTTAATTGGTGGTTCGAAACATTGTTCCAAGGTTTTTTTTTCAAATAGTAATCTTGAACAGTGAATTTGACGATGAATCATTAATTTCTACACGGATATATTGCGTAATATCTACAAGAAATTTTCTGATACTAATCAACATATGCTCATTAGTGATTGGCTTTAACAGGTATTTCCTCGAGTTCTAGTGAGAAGCAGTGACCAACGGAGTTGTGAGATAGTAACTCACAGGGGATAATGGTGGATGTGTAGTTCGATTTTGTGGATTAGTTGAATTTAGACATTAACACAGTTAGATACTGGCCATCCCAGTGGTCTAGAAGTTAAAGGCTTGCGTGCAAGACCGATAGGTCGTTGGTTTGGATCTCCTGGGGCGGAATCGTGGATGAGAAGTCCCAAAGTAGGACAAAACGGTCATCCAGTGCTTCGAGGTTCTCTATGGTGGTTTAGGTATAAATGACTCATTATCTCAACTATTGAAATTACTGTCACGTCCACAAAAACCCCTTCTGATAAAAATCATTTCTTTACATATCATGGTTTATGAAATACAATATTAGGCAACTTAATTTAAATCAAAAGAAGGATATTTATTTAATACTTTCGAGTTTTTTGCTTGTCATAAAAAAATTGATATTGTGATATCATGAATGGACATATAACCTTCAAAAAAAGATCGAAATAACATGTCAAACCCTTTGAATTTATGACAATGAACAAATAGTCCGGAAGAAAAACTATGGATATAGGTTTTATTATTTATAAAAGTTATTATTTCTTAACAATTAATGATGATTATGTCTATCCATTAAAAATAGATCTGTGATATTCCAATAAGTTGAAGTTAGAATTTCTGATGTTTCGTAAAATGACATTGATCCATTCAGAACCATTTTGATTTTGAACTTTGTTCCTTAATACATATTTAATTTTGTTCTAATTTAATTTCAGCTATTTATTTATTTACTCTGAAGAGACTACTTAAATAAAGTTATAACATGTAAGATATTCTAAGTTCTACTTATTAAAATATCACAATTATATCATTATTTCATTATTAGCATTCTAACTAATGTTCGATTTATCTGAAATTGTTCAATCAACTCCCGGTAATGATACATATAACCATTAAAAAAGTTCGAATCATTTAACTTTAAATTTAATTCCAGTAATAAGCTTATATCAATTCGTATAATTTAATGACATTTTGTCAAAATGTAATCAAACTAGTTTTTGATTCAATTAAAATCTATACAATAGTAAATTTGTTGTTAGTAAATTGCAAGTATGCTTCACGTTCTATTCAAGAAGATTTGGGAGGAAGAACAAGTCCGGATAAACTGGAAAGTAGGATATTTCATTAAGGCACAATATAAAGATCTGAGTAAATGTGAGAACTACAGAGGCATTGTACTATTGTCTGTACCAGGGAAAGTTTTTAAAAGAGCGTTGCTGAACCGGATCAAAGACACAGTAGACGCACAACTTCGATATCAACAGGCTGAATTCCGTAAGGATCGGTTGTGCACAGACGAAATTGCGACACAAATGATCATAGTCAAACATTCAATTGAGTGAAACTCGTCACTGTACATCAACTTTATTGATTATGAAAAAGCATTTGACAGTGTAGATAGGAGAACATTATGGGAACTTCGACACTATAATGTACCTGAGAAGATCGCCAATATCCAACGGAATTCATACGACGGACTACAATCCAAAGTCTTGCACGGAGGACAGCTGACAGATGGACTGCAAGTAAGAACCGGTGTCAGACATAGCTGTCTGCTATCTTCCTTCCTCTTTCTTCTGGTAGTCGACTGGATTATGATGACCTTGACATCTGAGGGGAAGCACAGAATAAAATGGATAGCCCAGAATCAATTAGAAGATTTGGACTTCGCAGATGACCTAGCCCTCCTATCCTATACACACGAATAAATGCAAATGAAGACACCTGACATAACAGCAGCCTCTACATCAGTAGGCCTCAGTATACACAAAGTAAAAGCAAGATCCTGAAATACAAGAGAGAGAACACCTACCAAATCACGCTTGACGGAGAAGCTCTGGAACAGATGGAATCTTTCATGTACCTGTGCATCAAAATCGATAAATAAAGAGGATCTGATACAGATGTAAAGGTGAGGATTAGCAAAGCAAGGGTTGCATTCTTACAATAAAAGAACATATGAAACTCAAAACAACTATCAATCAATATCAAAGTGAGAATCTGCAATACGAACACCGAGACAGTTCTACTGTCCGGAGCCGGAACGTGGAGAACTACTACGACCATCATCAAAAATGTGCAAGTATTTATAAACAGTTGTCTGTGCAAGATACTCAATATCCGTTGGACGGATACCACCAGCAACAGCCTTCTGTGAGAGTGGACAAACCAACTTCCAGCTGAAGAGGAAATTACGAAAAGACGTTGAAACTGGATAGGACATATATTGAGGAAATTATCAAACTGCATCATGAGGCAAGCTCTAACTTTGAATCCTGAAAGGAAGCAAAAATAGAGGAAGATCGAAGAACATACTGTGTCGGGAAATGGAAGCAGACATGAAAAGGATGAATAGCAACCGGAAAGGATTGCCCAGGATAGGGTTGAATGGAGAGCGCTGGTGGGTGACCTATGCTCCTCCACGAGGGGCAACAGTCATAAATAAGTAAATTATTTATTATTATATTGCATTCTAGAAATAAATTGTCTAGGTGATATTCTGTAAAGAAATGTCTCATAATCTTTACAACAATACCAATTAATATGTGAATATGCGTAAATCCAATATTTGAAATCATAAGTCAATTGAAGCTAGACCACCATCGAAAACTCCGAAGCCCTGGACGGCCGTTTCGTCCTATTGTGGGACTCTACAGTAGTGCGCATCCGCGACCACGCCCCAGGAGATTAGAACCCATGACCTATCAGTCTCGCGCGCGCTTAACGACTAGACCACTGAGCCGGTCGGCATCCAACGGTGTTAATGTCTAACTTCAAAAAATCCACGAAATTGCGCCACCGTACACCATTGTCTTCAGTGAGTTGATATCTTACAGCAGACCTGGTTGAACTCCACTGGTCACTGCTTGTCACTAGAACTCTAGAAAATGGCCGTCCAATGCTTCCAGGTTTTCCATGGTGGTCTAGTTTCAATTGACTCATGATTTCAACTATTAAAATTACTAAAATCTCCAAAAAACCCCTTCTGATAATATGCGTGAATTGTTAATATTTGAAAAAAAAACAAAGAAACAAAATCAATTACGTAATCCTTTGTTCACAATTGTTAAATGTTAGTTACCTTCTAGTTAAAAAGTCTGTCTGCATGTTCTATTCAAAATGAATTAAGTGTAAATGACTAATTTAATCCTTGGTTCCTTTTTTTAATCTTAAATGTAAATGAACAAATTAGAATTACAATAAATAACACTTTCATTATAGATTGTTAGATAACTTTGTTTTTTACTTTAAAATATCCAAAGTTTATTTGTACCGTATATCAGTTTGTCAGTTATTTAGCTTGACTGTGTTGTTTTTCCGCGATAATAATAATAATAATCTCTGGAACAATAGAAGTTTTTGACTCTATTCAACTAAATATGAACTTCAGTCAGTTTTAGTAGTTGGTATGTAAAATACAATTTTACTTTTTTTTTAACAACCACATATTCATCTTATGTGAAAATAATTGTTCTGTTTAAAGTTAAACGAAAAGGTAGTAATTGAAGGGTACAATGTAAATCTAAATTTAATTTTAATGAATGAGATTATGGGTCTGTGGAAGCTAGACCACCATGGAAAACCTGGAAACACTATATGGCCATTTCTTCTTATTGTGAGACTCCTCAGCAGTATGCATGCACGGTCCCGCCTCGCGATATTCGAACCCATGGCTTATCAGTCTTGCGCGCAAACTCTTAACTTTTAGACCACTGCGCGCACTGTTAAAGAGTCCCATGATAGGACGAAATCGCCGTCCAGTACTATAATATTCACAAAATCCCCTTCTGATAAATTTACTTGTATTGCTTTATTATTCATTAATCATTGGACATTTAAAGAATCCTGTTTGCTTGAAATAGGAACTATAACTAATTGAGGGAAAAGTGTTTTATTTTTAGATCTTTTATCATAGTTTTAGAGTATTTTATTCATGGATGATGCGAGGTATTGTATACTGTAGTTTAGTAAATTATCTGTAAATTACAAATAAACTTTGTGAGCTACATAGATATTATTTATAACTGAGTTATCTTTAAATAATACAATTTCAGTATAAGTATCGTTCATTTTTATTTTCTACACAAATTAACTCAATGTATTTCTAAATTGGATGACAATGGGAAAATATCGAAATGTATTAAATTATGTTGATGATGTAATATATAGTATTGATTAAAGCCATTAATAATAATCATCATCATCACTTAATAGGTTGACATGTTTGTGTCAGACCTTATCATTCATTTAACTTCAAGAGAAAGCTTGTTGATTTCAAGAAGGAAAATCAACTTACCTGAGTATAGTCTCCTTACTCTAGTTGACAATGTTTTAGTATAGAGGATATGTGGAGGTTATTGAATTACGTTGCATGCATTGCAGACTGACCTCAGATGACCGCTATATACAAGGAAGCATTGAACAGCTGTTCCATCTTAGTATGGGACTCTTCAACAGAGCGGATTCACGACTGCATTGTCTATTGAACTTCGAAATTTCAGGTCTAGTGGAAATAATTTAATAAGTCATTTAATATTTCATATCTTTAACTTCAGTTTTGTATAATCATCTACCAATACCATTGGTGTTTTATCCTAACAATATTTTTGCAGTATTTAATTTCTTTACGCAGATAACAAGTTAAAACAATTAATTTAAAGAAGGTCAGTACTGACATTTCCAACTTAACGTAAGATTTCAAAAGTCTGTCTAGAAGTAATAATTGAAACTGTGTGATAATCTTATCGACTACTGTAAATCATCGCTATTTAAACCTGTAATTATTTCTCAGCTATTAACTTTCTTAGAAGGTATTTTGAGAAACATAAGATATGTTCAAATCACAGACAAGTAAGTCCAAATATCTTAACTAATATAGTTATTGTATCTATGAGAGGTGTTATAAACGCTAATTATTCTTTGAGGTGATGTAAAGCAGAAATTCTATCCAATCCAGTACATTAAAATTTGGATGATTACGGATCAAAGAAAAGCTTTTAATAAATAGTTTAACAGACAAGTTCATTATTCTTAATCAACTTGATTCAATGGAACCTTCTATTAAATGATTCTTAATTCATAATGTTAAACTTTCTTGTGGTTAAAAAACAAGATTACAAACTGAATTTTAAAACTTCATTGATATTTCCGTTCTACTATATTTACTTTAGATCGCAGTGTGCGCCATTTGAATTCTGTTTACAGTCATATGGAGATGGTGTTTGTCAATCCCAATGTAATACCATTCAATGTGGTTATGATGGAGGAGATTGTGAAAATGAACAAAGAAACTATTATTTATCAATCAAGTATATTTTACTTCATCTGAAAACAAATCAATCAGAATTTAAGTTGAATCGTAATCAGTATCTGGGAAATCTAGGTGTAATTCTTCGGTCTATTGTTAGGATTGCAAAGGATAACACTACTAAAGAACTTTTATTAGAAGATATTCCTAGTAAAAATCAAATTAAAGTAAGTATTCGATTGATAACTTTTTAAGAAGTAGATCAGAATATCTTAGACTTTCTATTGCTTCCATTATTGATAAGAAGTCAGAAATCAAAAATGTGGTTGATAGCTACTGAACAATCTTGTGGTTGATTATAAGTTAGGTCAAATTTAGCTTTAAAATCATTCAAATGTCATAGTTCAATCAATAGAATGCCGAATCTATACTACAGTAGTCATTCATACAAATTCTACTGTAGGTGAACTTTCTATTCAATGTCATTTATTGGATCCCTTTACAAGCTGAGTTAAAAACCAGCTGTCTAAAATAATAAAAACATTAACTTAGAAATTATCATACTCCTTTTATTTGTGGTTGATTAATATTTGATCATGAAATGATTAAATAACTAATTGAATTAAGAAGTTGATCATTTCATGTTTCCTACTGGCTGTTTCTTTTCGAATGGACAAATGTTTCGTGTAATGAAGGTATGAATTTTAACGCTACTTTCTTTTATATCTAATGTCGCTTACTCGAATGCAAACAGTAATAAGTGTTATAAGCCATGCAATTAAAAAAAAACTTTTACTGTTCTATCTTCAGGTGCTACTTGAAGTTATCAGTCAATCAAATATTAACTGCAAAACAAACGAGGGAAATATGTGTACGAACGATAGTGTTCGATTACTTCAACCAAACGAACTTAAAACTTATATTCTTGCCGCATTAAGTACAAATCAGTACAAATCACTTTTTAGTATAATCAACTTAAATTTTGTTGATTCACCAAGTCACTCACATTTTAAAGCACCATGGGAATTAGACTCTTCAACTGATACAGGAATATCAAAAGAAGCTATTGGATTATACGTTTGTATATGTATTTTAGCTGGAAGTAAGTTGAAGTTGGTTTATAATACAAGCTTAAGTTTGTTAAGACTAACTTTAAAATTCTCATACGTTTTCTAAAGATGATGGGGAAGCTATATTACCTCTCTTTAAACTTGATAAAATCTTAACGTAACCATTACATGATTAAAAAAATTTCTAATGATAATTATTCATGTATTTCGAAGTTTACACCTAGAACAAACTATTTGTTCAAGTCTTCCTAGTTTTATTCCTTCATCATTTTCTGTTCATTTAGTTCGTAATAAGAACTATTTTTTAATTGATTAGATCATTTGAACTACTTAAGTAAATAGAATACGTGCTGAAGTCCTACTCGGTAAACTTAATTCCTATCTTGTAGTTTATCTAGCATTAACTATCAGCGGTACTGTTTTCAAAATAATGCTAGTTTTATTTACTATATGTTACTTACTTGTAAAGAAACTTCTGACTAGTTCATTACATCTATTTTCTTAATGATTGAGTCATTGTATTTATTTATACGAATATTTAAAGTAACTAATTTTTGTGTCTATAAAATTTGAATATCTAAGTGGCTTATTGCTATCAATAAGAAGCTTTTTGTTTGTTAATATAAATAAACAATATAGATTTATAACACCATAGAAATCAACTTTACCTTGAGCACATGAACTTGCTCAACTATGCTGGTCGATGAGACATTATCATACAGCGGTATATGTTAACATATATAAGATGTTTTATGCCACATAAATAACTAGTTTGCTTGTTTTAAGTTTCCTGACTGTTCACTGCAGCAACTGTGGCTGGTTATCAATTTCAAAGATTGCTGTAACATGTATAATAACATTTCTGGAACTCTGGTTGTGTATTTTGTTGAGTTGATCACACATTTGAACATACCAAATAAATCTAAAAAGGTATAGATGGTCATTGGTGTATCCAATTTTTCAAAACAGGAACAATGTATCATGTTGAATATATGCTTCAGTTGGTAATGACATCTCACGCTTCATTTGACTAGCTTATTTGGAAATCATGACCAAATAACATCGTATATAGTATTATCTAGAAGTCAATTTCAGAATGTTTGTTTAACTAAACTTATGCTGTAATCGACAATTGAAGTTTTTTTATTGAGATCATAAACCGATCAATGTTAGGCGATCACTAAAGGCATGAAGGCACTGGATGACCATATCATCTTTGTATGGGACTCTTCAGTACACGACCGCTTAGCTGGCATCCACTGGTGTTAATGACTAACTTCAACCAATCCACGAGGTTGTGCGACCATTTCGCATTGACTTCGGAGATTAACTGCCTCACATTCAACACGACTGAACTTCACTGGCCACGGCTTCTCACTAGCACACCAATAATTGCCTCTGGAAGCTAGAGACTAGTGAGCTCATGATAACTATCAGTATAGGATTGTGGAGATTGTTGAGTTTTCATTGAGACTACGAACACATCAAAGTTAAATCACTATAGAAATGGTGGTTGAAGTTAAACATTAAAACCGTCGCATCTCGGCCCATTAGTCTATAGGTTAAGCGTTCTCGCGCGAGATCGAAGGTCCCGGGTTCGAGTCCCGCAAGTGGGATTGTTGATGCACTACTGATGAGTCACATACTAGGATAGAACAGCCGTCCTATCCATTAAAGTTTTCAATCATGGTCTTTCATTGATCGGTTCATGATCTCAATAAAAACTCAACAATCTCAATAACCCAATACTGATATTGAAGATGCTACTAAACTTGGATTGAATAATAAATGTCTCAAAGCTGAAAAGATCGGAATGTAGATAGCGTTTCTAATATAACAGTACCGAACTGTGCAAAATAAAGCTAAACGAAATTGTCTCTTAACATTCCCTGTTTTTATAAAGCGTTTCATCTTTTAAGTATATTTAACACACGTGTTTCTTCAGTTACTTGAGTTCACGAAAATGTTTATTCAAGTAGAGCATATTCCACAGTATTTTCATCTTCCTTCTAGTTTATTTCAACATTCGCACCAATTACAAAATCGGAAAGCAGTTCTAAATATGTTTCGCATATAAATTAATAAGTTGAGATACCTGTGAATCTAAATATATTTCTTTTCTATTCAATTTATTCAAGATTATATGAGTATATGACATTTTCTCGTCAAATGAACCAAATAGGTGGAAATTAATAATCACTGATTGGTTTTTAGATGCATTTTACAAATTAACCTAGGAACTTATGTCTGGCTTAATTTATAACTAAAACAGATGTTTTCAACAATTATGTTGTTGTTAATTAGGATTACCTATATACACTCAGTAAACAAAACTCGTCTTTGATGTTACATGACTGAATGTGATCGGTATAAAACGCTGAACCTAAGTTTTATGCATGTTGAGAGCAATTACCCAGAACTCTTAATGTAAAAGAGATTCCTTGTTGGATTTGAAACTGCGTCACCTAGCTTTGTAGTCAAGAACTTTACCATTCCGCTATTTAAGATTCAGCTTAATTCTCGTGAGGGTGAGATATCTACATTGATTGATCAGGTACAGGTAGAAGGGATTAATTAATTACTTCAAAATTAGGGTATCCCTTACTGAAGTCTAGGTTTATAAGTTTGGGCCTAAGTATATTCAACTATCAAATATTCAGTCATAGTGCACATGATATTGAGTTACTTAAACTAATCACTACATTTTAATTTGATCAATGGAATCTGATCCAACATAAGAACTAGATAAACATGGCATTAGTTACTAATCCGTGATCAATCAATGTATAAATCATTTTTATTTTAGTTTGCATCTTTGATTCATTTATAAATAGGTGTTAGTTGTAAATTATGCAAATAATTCATTGTATTGAATAGCATAATATAATTTTATAAGGCAATAAGTAAAGACATGCTTTAAACAATATGTAATTCGTTGTAATTTTTTTTTTGTTTGACCTCTGATATACGTTAGATAATATTCGACAGTAGTAACACGATAACAACTATGAAAGATCAGTAACAGATCAGTAAATACATTCAGGCGCATTAGATCATTTGAACGTTTTACATAATGTATCTTTATGGTGTTTAGCAAAAATTATATAAACATAAACAATGAATGAATTAATTAGATAATATGACATTGGTTCTTTTCCAGACAATACTTATTACTTATATGAATAAGAAATAGTTGTGAAGACCTTTATGCTTAAGTTAACACATATAACACATAGTTATTGTAGTTTTTTGTTAGATAATCAAAGGTTGATAAATAACGAGCGAATAATGAAAGTATAACGGTACTTTGATCATTTGAGTTATTCATGGAAGAGTGAAAATATTTATTGTTTAGTTCGATTTAATAAAGACATCGATTTGTAAAAAAAGTTAATAGAAACCCTACGGAATTTATTTAATAGAAATAACAATTAATTTAACTAAAGGGAATCTGTTTTTAATTGAGATCATGAACCGATTGATTTTAGACCACCATTGAAAACATGGAAGCAATGGACGGCCAATTTGTCCTATTGTGGGACTCCTCAGCAGTGCGCATCCACGATCTTACTCGCGGGATTAGAACTCAAGGGCTTAAGTCTCAGGCGCGAACACCTAACCTACTGGACCACTGAGCTGGCATCCAATAGTGTTAATGTCTAACCTAAACCAAACCACGAAATTGCGCGACCACCTTCCATTGTACTGAGGTAGATACCTGCTTCTACCCGACACGGATTAGCTCCACTGGTCACGGCTTCTCACTAGAACCCCGAGAATTTTCTCACGAAGCTAGTCATTAGTGAGCACATGGTAATGTTTACCGTGGTCTAACATTGATGTGTTCATAATCTCAATAAAAACTCAAAAACCTCTACAACACTATACTGAGAATGGCCGGAGTGAAACAGCAGCGCCCCTGAAGCTGGTCTTTGTTGTCCAACTTGCGTCCAATGTGTTTCACCGATTCCAAGCACCTTCAGATTGTATCTGTTCATTTCTGCAGAAACTTGGATGACTCTCACAGTCTCTCACATTGTACGAACATTCCATCTACTTAAATTAATGGTTGCTCTGGTTGTCAGAAGGGGCACCAAATTCGTGACTTCCGAAGGGACTCTGATTTCATTATATGTCACAACTCTTTTAAATGAAGACTTAGCTCGTAAGACAGATTTTTAATGGTTTGAATTATTTTTTCTGGTTAGCATTTTTTTAGCGAGCTAGTTTTCTACGGGATGGGATTGCTAACCTCATACCTAACTCTCTTCCTTTATTCGGGCTTGGGACCGTCAGTAGCCCCAGATAGGCTCCAGGTGGAGTTACATCGACAGTTACTTATTTTTAATTTATGATGATTTAAAATGTTATAATATATGAATGTACTACTGAATTAATATGTTTCAGAATTCACTATATAACTATCTAAATTTTTCTATGGGATAGTCAACGAGTGATTAAACACGATTAATTACAATTATTGTTGAATACCTTTTTTATTCTCTTTTACTATCTAATTACAGAATCTGTGGTTCAGGTATACCACTGACTAGTAATGTTGAACAATATCTTTTTGGTACACAAATGATTAAACAGAATATATATTTCAACTACTTAAAGTTTCAATGTTGTTCCTTACAACTATTGATACTCAGTTATTGAAAACTATTCATCATAAGCAAAATTGTAAGATAAAAGTAATATGAATGAAAAGAGCAGGAACAAAGATTCTAGCAGAATAGCATGAATTCATCTCTATTTCGTAGGTTCTCGTCAGCTGCTTACAACGTTTAAATTTAAAATTACAATTACATACTGGGTTTAAGTTACTTACATGGAAGGGTTTGGTTGGAAGTTTTATTGAAGACATATTCGTATAGTATAGTATAATATGAATGAATTTTCAATTAATATAGCTGAATTATGGAATGAGAACAATAATCTTTCTCTGGTTACTTTTTGTTTTTCAGTAATTATTGTATTAATTTTATTCTTGGTATTTCAACATGACAATAACTGGCGAAAACCATTGAAACGTGTAAAAACGAAAGGTATCTGGTGTCCACCTGTATCATCGATTTATTCTAAACCTAATCAAATGGATTTATTAGGACAACAATCTTCAGTTTATTTCACAGGACTTAAATCAGTTGTAGGAGTTACAGAACCACCTTTAACAACAATGACAATAAATGAATCAAAATATTTTGACAATAAATTTAAACAAACTCCATCAGCTTCATCATTTTTTCAAGATTACTTGAATTCTTCAACTGCTAATGAGAAGGATACATTCCATTTGTCAAATGTCCCAAAGTACAATCATGAACAAATGATTACTGGATTCCTCTCAGATAAGGTGAGTGTTATTCCTGAAGTTTATACTTAGTTATAGGTATGTATAACGATCTATTAAATATCGTAAATTAAAATGATATATAGTATGTAAAGTTGGTCTTCTTTTGTCAACCCAGTACTTGAAACCATCTTGCATCACAAATAGTAATAACCTAATAATAATATTCCTCTGAAATACAATTATTAAGATCACAAACCGACCTAAGTAAGACAACCGTTAAAGTATTCATGAATTTATGATCGTAATCATATTTAATAAACACCTAAAAACCTCATTCTGTCAAAAAGTTACCTTGAATCGTCAAACCGAAAGCAGTAAACACTGCTTAGACGTATCAAATAGATTCTCGAAGTTTAATTTTTGTATGAACCTACTTTTTTTACTATAAGTAAAGACAATATATTTGAATGATGAAGTTTTTCATCATTATTAAATGAATAAGTATGGAGCCTTGAATGCTAAGAATCACAAATCATCATTTGCTACCTTAGTTTTACGCATACATTACCATCTACTTACAAAACATTAGTAGTTAAGTGATCATTGTTAGCATCAAGTTTGTCCAATGTATACCATCTTTGTGAAGATATTTACAACTAAATATGATTTATCATTTATTATTTATGATGTCCTATAACAAGATATTCCAAATTCATCCTAAATTTAGTATGGTGCATATTACATTAGTTTTCACCCTTTTATACTTTTGATTTCATTTTAAATGTCAACTTGGAATAGATGGATAATTGTCTTTCTTATTATTTATCTCATTCTTAGTGCAAATGTTTTCTGTTAATTATTTATTCCAAAATACTATTTCGTATGCCGTTGTATGTTTTAAATGAACTACACAACAAAATACCATCCAGTTAAACAAAAATGTAATGTTCGAATGTCTCGGAAGGCGGAATCGTGGATGCGCACTGCTGAGGAGTCTCATACTAGGACGAAACAGCCATCTAGTGCTTTCAGGTTTTCCATGGTGATCTAGCTTCAATAAACTCATGATTTCAACCAGTGAAATTTGTAAAAATCTCCACAAAACCCCTTCTGATAAAAATTTAATTATTGAAATCGGAGTATTATTATACAATTGTAATATAGGAGAATACAGGTGAGGACAACTGAACATATTTAGCACAAAATTACTAAGTTACTTGATAAAGTAGAAAAACCATACTCCAATACTTCATTTGCAAAACGTTCATTAATTTTCTTAGACTTTATTGTTCATGCATTTCCATACCAATTACTTTCTGTTCCCGTTCTTCCCTCCTCAATCTTTCAGCCTTCTACTGCCAGACATTCTATTCCAGACTAGCGTTATATACTTCTTATGCCGTCATAAGTAGCACACATCACAATCGTCCCCCTATTAATAAGCTGTTTTCACTGTCTTTCCGATCACTGTACCACTGTCTTCTTTGGTGCTGTTCGTGACTCGTACTCATGATGTTCTTGAAACAATCTTTGCGGTTGACTGGCATTTATGCACTTCTGCTTGTGTTCTCTCCGGATCGTGTAAATTGAGCCACATCTCTCCATGTCACTGTATGGTCCTTCCCACTTCGGGATCAGCTTTCCTGACTCTGGTCCCAATGCCATGTTCCCTTTTCATTCTCTACACTTTACCAGGCTCCCCACTGCAAAAGGCTTCCACGTTCTTCTCTACTGTTCTGCCTTCTTTGTGTCTGTTATTTATTTCTTTTCCACGTTTCTAATTGCTTCCCTTGTTAATCTTGTTGACGTCCACTTCTGTTGTTGTGGCCAGGTTTATTGTGCATTGGACGTCGTGGTTGTCTACCATACATAAACAGGAAAAGTGACTTCTTGGTTGTCCCTTGTATGGGAACACGATGAGCCAGCAAAATCAATGGTAACTCTTTCTCCCGACTTCCTCCTTTAGAGGCTAACCAGTTCTTTAACGTTCGGTTGTTTCTTTCTGTAAGCCCGTCCGTCTGAGGGTGCTACGGTGTAGTTCCCATCCTCTTGATGTCAAACTGCTTTAGATAGGCTTTAAATTTGTTACTTTCAAAACAGGGACCTTCGTCGGTGAATATCATCTTCGGTGTTCCGTTACACGCCACAATGTGCCGGATTACTACTTCGGTCACTGTTTTTGCCCGCTGGTCTACCCAACGTGTAGCATGTTCCGTCACCACTACCAGGTACTGATTACCTTTCGCCGTCTGCGGAAAAACTCCCACCACATCCACCGACCGTAGATCACCGACTGCGGTTGCTGGGACTGACTGTAATGGAAGTTGTGCGTATCGATCATCTATTATTAGTTGGCACGCACCACACAATAATCTGATACCAAATTGTGTAAATTTTAGTGCGTCAGTACTCGAATGACTAGTAAACCACAATAATATCGATAAAATAGTGTGTAACGTTTAAAAATGTGTGAATAAATGTAAAAGTAATTGTAATAGCAACTATGATTCTACAGTTCAATCTTTATTTTGTAATTAAAACAACGGTATCCTAGCAGATATTTAATAATATGATGGGAATTGAATATATGCTTGATTTTCGTGTAATGATGCATAAGCTTCGGTTGTTTTCATTAGCTTTTAGTCCTCAATTGAATACAGATCAAGAATATCAAACCTAAAATATCAGTGTTGGCCAATAGGTTAATATTCATCAATAAAGATGAAGCAGTTAAAACCAAAGTGATTAAGGGGATAAACTAATATCTTACTGATAAATTCAGGGTGAAAACTATAAAATTTACAGGGATGAAAGATTTGTTAACAATAAGTGGATTTTCACAGGTTGAAATCATGAGTCAGTTGAAGTTAGACAACCATTGAAAACCTGGAAGCACTGGACGGCCGTTTCGTCCTAGTATGGGACTCCTCAGGACGAAACGGCCGTCCAGTGCTTCCAGGTTTTCAATGGTGGTCTAGCTTCAACTGACTCATGATTTCAACCTGTGAAATTTACTAAAATCTCCACAAAACTCATTCTGATAATAAGTGGGTTGATGAATTATGTTAGTACAAAAGAAAAGGGTGAATTTAGTGCATTTTACAGTTTAGAAAAATTATTTTTGTTTTGACAGGAACGTGAATATAGTCATTTAACATACATGCTTTTCTTTTAGTTAGATGTTCTAAATGATTTCAAGTTTAAAAGTAACTCTGAATTCGAGTTCACCTTACTGGTAGATTACCATAACGAAATATCCACTCGTTACGTTCATATTAAAAATATATGTTATTGTCACTTTGATATCGAAGGAAAATTTATAATAATATATGAGAAAAAGTATGTTTTAAAAGTTAGCTACTGAATACTTTGTTAGTAGTATGAGACTATAGGACACTTAATATCGATTTCGAAAATAAGAAATTACTTGTTAGCAGATTGAAACTATTGTTCAAGCCACTACTACTGAATACCAAACTGTCTGTAATACGAAATCTAAATTGTTTGTTCGAGAAAATTGAATGGTTATAGAGTATGTTTAGTTAGGTAATATGATAACTGTCAACAAATTAAATTTTAATAGTTGACTTCATGAGTCGATTGAAGATAGACCACCATGTATAACCTGGAAGCATTGGACGGCCGTTTCGTCCTATTTTAGGACTCCTCAGCAGTGCGCATCTGATTTACCCAGTATTCCCAGGTTTATATGATTGTTTCGCTCCAAAACATATTTAGATAGTTTAAAATTGACATTATGAATGAATTCCTCAATGTTTATACTTTACGTAGGTTCCTGGAACAGATGACTATTCGCCAAATTGCAAAAAGAAACGTTTTACTCAAGTAAGTTAATTGTTTAAATTCTATGAAAAATTTGTTTTTTTTTATGTCACAGGAAAATTCTAGAAATTTTAAATATTGTATTATTCATTCTGCTGGTTGTCTTAGTTCTACAATTTTGTTATCATAATGATAAATACTATTCTATACAAAAGAGACTTATCTAAAATTACAACACAGTTCTGAATGTTTCTATGACAGATAAGAGATTACTAACAAAATGTATATGAGTAATACAAAATCACTTACTGCGAAATATATTCAAATAAGTGTTAACGATATATTATTCATTAAGTTGTGTAGTTCAGTGACGAAACACTTATTATGATCTTCATCAATGTTGAGAATATTTGTTTAACTCCTTTTCTCCTCAAGACTGTTAGGTACTTAACGTAAATGACTGATCATTCGAACACATTAGTCTGTTGATCAAATGTATGATCACTAGTACGTTATTTAGCAATCTTATGCAATTTATTACGACTAAAGAATGTTAATTTTAAAACTTGACAACAACGGTTAAAATAATATTTTCTTCATTCACATCTAAATAAATTAATTCGCAATCAGCAAAACAATTTGCTGTTTTCCCAAACATAAAAATGGGATATTAAGTAGATTTTTTCTATCCCTACTGTGGTCTATGGCCATTCATTTATCATAACAGTCTCGAAGTACCTGAAAAATTTGGAAAAATCGCGTAATACCTTGTGTACATTCAGAAGTTGAGTTTCGAAAAGCATTGTTTTTTTTTAAGAACATCTATAAAAGAATTTATCGTTTATCCTGGAAGGACTCATTGAAAGCGTGAATTTTGATAACACCGAACTTCAGTTAGTTCGTCCGTTATCTTGAATAAGTTTTCGAATAAATATTCGCGATGAAAAAAATGATCATGTGAAAACGGTTGCCTACCTGTAAAAGCATCTATAAACTAAGTGTTTTTCAAATGTCTGGTATTCAAAATTAGTTTTTGGTTAAATGAGGTTGACTACGAGAGGAAATTTTATAGGTAGACTCATGATTATGGTCATGATTCAGTAAGATTCGAAACATCTTCCAAATTACGTGGATAAATTATATATATATATATATATATATATATATATATATATATATATATATATATATATATATATATATATATATATATATATATATATATATATAACCAATCACTCAGAACAGAGAATGCAGCCATACGAAAATATATATTTGAATACATTTAGTGAAATTCAGTCCGTTCGCCAGATATTTATATCTATACAGTTTTCATATGGTATTAATCCGTAAGCTTCAATAAATATTTTGTATTGGATCTTATTAATGGAAAGTAAATAAAGTATCATTTTTACTTTTTTATTTTTTCATTGTTTACAAATGCTAAAATAGAATGAAATGATATCAGATATGTTACCTAATAGTTCAAATTTGTTTACTGCTCCCAAGTATTTGGGAAATTTATTCAATGAAGATACAGGGAACTTTCAGCCTTTCGGAGAAGAGGAAAAGCACAAACAAGGCAAACGTAAATTTGATTTGGAAGACAAATATGATTCACTTTTGCCTCAGGAAAATTTAAAAATCACTATTAATGAAAGTTTAAATTTAGATAGTAGTTATAGCAAGAAAGAGAAGATAAAGGCCATGGGATCTGATAACAAAGAAGTTTTTAAAATAATTTCATCATTGGATGGTCTACACCCATGTAATGTCACTCAGAGAAGTCAAATTGAACAAGTTTTAGATGATAATAATGATCAAAATAAAGGTGTAGAAATGTCGTCAAACAATTATGGTACTGAAAATTATTTGGATGATGATCTATCAAAGAACGTTGTTGGTGATCAAAGTCTCCTACATTTAGCAGCTCATATGAATGTAGGACATGACATAATTAATAAAATCTATCATAATGAACATAATCAAAGACCTCTTGGTACTTTATATGTTGATTCATTTGGTAGAACAGCTTTGACTGGAGCGGCTGCTGCTAATTCTTTAGAATCAGTCAAGTCGTTATACCAGCTTGAAAAAGAGGCTCTACTAAATAAAAAATCAGTAAAATCTGTCAAATCACATCAAATTACTGCACCAAAACCAACATGTCGTTCAAGAAGACGTTATCAAGTTTATGAATCTCGACAGTGTTCACCTATAATTGTTGCTATTCAAGCAGGGAATGATGAGGTAGTAAAGTGTTTATTAGACGAAGGTTGTCCTTACAGCACTGTTGACCAGTATGGTCGTAACGTTGTACATTGGGCGGCAGTAACTAATTCTGTTAAAATATTAGCTCATTTAGCACAGTGTAAAGGTTTTGCTAGATTAATGAATATGAAGGACGACTGGGATAGAACACCTATCATGTTAGCTATACGTGAAGGTTGTCAGGAAGCTGTTGAGTTCCTACTAGACAAACAAGCCAAAGTTGAAATCATTGACTGTATGGAAAATGATTGTTTATCATTATGTATAGAGAAAGGTTATAAAAGAATACATGAAATACTTGTAAATTACATCAGATCAAGAAACTCAGACACAAAGTCGCTAACACGTGATAAGACAGTGAATGTTTTTAAAGAGAATCCAGACGTAAGTAAACAAGAACTGTCACCGATGTTACAATCTACACCATCTATGGTACCGGTTACGACAGTGATGACAACTACGCCAGTACGACATTCAGCAGAGAACATTTGTCGTATGAATGAATTTGACTGGGTAAGTTTAAGTGATGACCAAGTTTCAGAAGACTATAGTGATTGTGATCAATTCACGGTAGATATGACTAAAGATTTTAATTGATGTGAAAGTGGTCACTACTGACGTACAATATTTACCCTAATTCACACATTTCTAATCATATGTTACATAAATCATACGCATATTGTAAATTTATTATATTTGTTCAGCTATGTATGTATAAAACTGTATATAGGGGTTAATGTATTGAATGACGTGAAAGTATTATATTATTATGAATTACTTATGTACTTGTTTCTTACCAACCAACTATCTAAGTTAAAATAACTTTCCTTGTACAATACATTTATTTTTTATGAATAAATCACATTCAATATCTTCTATTACTCCTGCCACAGTGAATTCTTATGATTATCAGATATACAAGGATCATAACGAAAGCTTCAAAAAGGATACAGTAAAGCTTGGAAATATACAATATAAACTAGACATTAGATATCAATAGGCTTATACTTGGAAGTAGGATGTCTGTAACCTTGTAAAATTAGATCGAAATGTTCATCGTATTCGGTGGAATAGGTCGCGTCACTGTCCAAACTCAAAATGATGAAAATACTTTTCATCCACAATAACGTAATTTTTTACAGCTCAGCAAGAATAAAAACACGTTCAACTTTCCTATGGGTACAGCTAAGGATGTCGGTTTAATTTGTTGGAAATGATCAATGAAGTAGAGGTTCATTGCTAAATGATTCCGTCGATAGACTAGTATTACAGAAAGTAGATAGTAAAACACTTTTTATACATTTTGTAATGAGCATAATCCTAAACATTCTTATCATACATAATTGACCTAATGTTACGATTACTGTATTGAGTGAATTTTTTAGTATAGAACGCAATATGCAATATATTAAATTGAAACTATGAAACTTGCGTCTGAAATTTAAAATAAACCTACCTCATACATAAAAATTATATGGCACATGTAAATTTTAAGTGAATACCTTGTAAACAATTATTTATCCAATTTATTCCGTGTTCATTTGGCAACATGGTCAACAGAGTTCCGTCAACACTAAACATTAAAAATATAGGGGATTTGTTACTACCCAGTGCCCAAACGATGTTATTTTAACTCTTCAACTTCCCCGCTTTCTGATCAGTTTACTTACAATGATCGAATATTTGATGTTACATGTTAGGATCTGTTTTGTAACCTCTAATTCTTTCTCGCTCTTTATGGGTATTATACTATGCTACTTACTAAAATTTAGTAGCTTATGTATTGTCAATCATTTTGCAATGGACAGCTTAAAACACTTTTAAATTACAATACACTGATATTCCCAAATGTTTTTATGTTACTTTGTCATTGATTCCGTTATATTATCGTAATTTTTCTTCCGCATTTATCTTCGCAGTTTGTCTTCATCATACGTGTTTTTCATTGTGAAGTTATTTATTTGAAACAACTTCCATATTTAATGTAGCGTGCTCTCAGTTCAATATTGTTGACTGCCATTAGTGCTTTGACACAGATCTGCACTGTTATTTAGCTTATCGACACATTGTTTTGTGAATTGTAATAATAAGAACTTGTGAACCCCGTTGGTATCTCAAGATTTAAGATTCATGATTTTCATTGTTTATATTATTGCTTTCTGTAATGGTATCCTATGGGATTTTAAGCGACACCCAATTAATTGCAAAGTTGAGATATAATTGATTCCTTCATTATGGATACATTTTTCTCTGTCCCAGCATGTGAAGAGTTGAATTTTCTTAGTACATTCAGAGATCGTAAACAGTATAAAAAGTATTAAAGTAAATTAAGTCATGATTTCTAGTTTGAATATACACGATCAGGGGCGAGACTACAATTTATGGACGTGCCAATCAGAAGCGTTTGAGGGATTTCAAGGTCATTGCGCTAATTTAAGTACCTGATGTTCACGTACTATCGGTGTACGGCGGATTTTAGAGAGGACGTGATAACTGAGCGGCTACAACAACTGGGATTACCAAGAAGATCCTGTATTTGTGACTGCGGTAATTAGATGACTACTGTACCTTGTTCAAACTACCGTGATGAGAATGTCTCCTGATGTTATTTATGTTTGGGTAAGAAGTCTGCTGGAACAGGGATTTTCTTTGCTCGATCTCGATTGAGACTAAGGTGAACCATGATAATTGTTGCGAATCGAATAATAAAAGCACCAGTAACATTGGCTGCAACATTTGCAGACGTTACTGAAAATTCTATTGTTCAGTGGTATGAGTATTGTAGAGGTATATGCGCAATTAAAATGACAAGATTGCACAAGTCGTCAGGAGGAGTTGGGAGGATCGTTGAGATGGACAAAACAGTAGTTAGAAGGCGAAAATTTAACAGAAGACGAAGTATTTAAGAAGACTGGGTAAGTAGCGCTTCCATAAATATACCTCACAGGTCCTTGGAAGTTAAAACAGGTCAACCCAAAAGAGACATTTCTAACAGGTCATAAACCGACAGACAACGATAATAATACCAATTATACAGGAATATGTACAGCCAGTCATTACAATATATATAGATGGTTGGAGAGCGTACAGATGCCTGTATAGACTTAGATATATGCATCATGTCTCTCCGAGATTTCAGTAAGCTAGTAATTTCATGACTTCTAAAAGAATGACATATATTATAATTAGTTATATTCTTATTATATGTTGCCAGCTAACTAGTTATCTATGAGATTCGCTTAATAATCTTTATTTTTGTTGTAAATAAGTTTATAATTGCTTATTTCCGGTCTTTATTAAACCTGTTTTTGATTTTAATAAATATGGTTTGTAGAACTACAGTTTACTTTATAACAACTTAATTAATAACAAAAACAACCTTTAACTGTAACATATCTCAATAGAAGTGTTTTATTTAGTTCTCTGCATAAGTATACAAGTTATTATTATTATTGTTATGATTATTATTGATGGCTTTATTCAGTATTATATTTTTGGCACAATATAGAATTCTCAATACAAAGTATTTCAACAAGTTTCCTTTTCTTATTTCTTGATCGACCCTTGCGATAAATATTGAGTGGTCGCCAGTTCGATGTTAGCAGTTGAGAAATTGACATTTGATTTATGTATATTCTTTTCGATACATATTCCCAGTGACCACAACGTCGCTGATTGGGCTCTTTTGCAACTTGTACAATGAAATATCGTAAATTTATTACACAGTGGATCGTGCTACTGAGTTACTGATTAATTATCTAGTGCTTTAATTTAAGTTTAACAGTATTCATAAACTGTCTAATTTGATAATTTGGAATAATGATTAATTCATAAAGGTTCTATAGACAGACTGTTTACAACAGAAAGTTTGTGTTAATGAAAAGAAAAGAACATAATTAATCAAAACATGAAGATAAACACAATAAATTCTACTGACAGGTTAAACTTTCAAAATTTAGCTATTATCTATAATTGTTATGGTGGGATATTGAAGAGATTATTAAAAGTTAGATATGTGTGTGCTGTGCGCATTGTCTTAATTCACAAGCACTATACGCAAAGATGGATAGTGACTAGCAGTGGAATCTAGGGCATACGTTTCGTCCTATTTGGGACTCGTCAGCTGGATGTACCTGCATCTCAGAGTTGATGTTCACTCTAGAACTCGAACCCAGTGTCGTTCGCTTCAAACACCATCACATTATCCACTTAGCTACTGGGTTTTGATAGCCACTTGTTTGTGCAACGCGATGAACTTTAAATTCATTTTGTATTGTTTGTTTATACATCTACCAATAATCATTATCCATCTTTATTTATCCATGACTTGTTTACGTCGAATAAGTTCCGGTTATTATTTTATTGATCATAATCATGAAGTATTAAATAAAAGACGATTTTAAGTAATTCATGTGTTGCATGAGATAATCTTCTGGATATTAAAGATTTTTCACAGGACTGTCGATCAACAAGACCATACAGATGGCAAGTCTCATTGATTGAAAATTCGACACAGAGTATTCACTTTATTTTCAAGAATTTGAAGTGTTTTAGTATTAAGTAGTTTGTAGTGGCTTAGCTTCGTTAATCAATCACCTTGATAGCCCTTATTATATCAATCTCATGGTGTTTAAATCAAGAGGCAATAAGAAGCGGAGGCTACAGTTTATTAGCGGATAGCACAGACAACAAAGTTAGAAACACATCGAGCGAATACAAAGCAGAGAAAAGAATATGTGTTTGCGAGCGAGTACAGAGGTAAATTTATAGTCAGATCGAATAAGGTGCAGCTAGACAACGCAAAGGCTAATAATAGGAATTGAGTACATATATACATGGAAAAGAGAATGATTCATCAAGCGATATTTAAGTTACCAACATTTTAGCTAGAGAGAGATATGTGCGTAGGCTGTCGTTTGATCAAGCGTACACCTTTATACAGACAAGATAATGATTATAATAGTACAAAGAAATATGCGAATTGTTACTATTCGAGTAACATTGTCTGTTAAGTGAGTTAATAAAAGGACTTAACAAAATTTAACCATAATCGATGTTGATTGTAGGAGAGTTGCTATAATTTAAGTGACCGGAGAAATACACTTTGATTCTTATGATTAATAAAGCAATATAATTTTCATTGTCTTTATCAAAAGGGTTCGTAACAAAGATAATTTTCACATATAAAAGACTATTAATTCATTTAAATGATCTTTTGCCATTAGTAGATTTCGTCTGTACTTCCTGGATGTTTGAAAAAAAGCAGTTAAACATAGTGTATTTTTAATTTGATATCAACCAGACTCATGTAATTATTGACACTAAATTAAGTTGTGGTCATTGCTGAGGAGTCCCATACTGGGACGAAATACTTGTCCAGTGCTTTCAGGTTTTCCATGACGATCTAGCTTCAAATGACTCATGAATTCAACTATTAAATTCATGAATAATTAAAAAGATTGTTTATGTTTTCAGTTTCATATCACCGTCGAGTTAAAAATAGTCAGTACAAATTGCAGTTTTGTAATTGTATACCGTGATATTAATCTACGGGAAATTTACTCCTGTTGAAGGCTTGCTGAAGTCAAATTAAAAGG